GATCTGCATGTGACTCCATGCATGGCAGCCAACTCCACAGCCTCTGCCTTGCACAGGTGTTACCGCTACCTGTGTTCAGTAAGGAATGTGGAGCTCTATCCTGGGCCAGGTATTGTACTGGGTATCGGGACATAGTGAACTAAAAATTAAAAGGGTCAGGCCAGGTGCGGTGGCTCATGCCTGTGATGCCAGCACTTTGGGAGGCCAAGCAAGGCAGGCAGATCACCTGAGATCAGGAGTTCAAGACCAGCCTGGCCAACATGGTGAAACTCTATGTCTACTGAAACTATAAAAATTAGCTGAGTATAGTGGCACACACCTGTAATCCCAGCTACTCCGGAGGCTGAGGCACGAGAATTGCTTGAACTTGGGAGGCAGAAATTAAAGAGACAGTGAGCCGAGATCATGCCACTGCACTCCAGCCTGGGCAACAGAGCAGGACTCCATCGCATAAATAAATAAATGAAAGGGCCCTTCGTTCACTGAGCTGACATTCCATGGAGGAGGACATGCACTTAGCAAATATTAACACAATTAAGTATTGTGGTGATTCAGTGAGGCACAGAAAAAGTACCAGGGGCTGACTAGGAGGCTATAAAGACCTTAAACTCTAATGGCGGGGAGAGAGCAGTCTCTTCCCTATAAACCCTGCTATTTATACTGACTTAGGAAAGGTAAGTATGAGTCAGACAGAGGGGCAAAGAGGAAAAAGGAAGAGACTCCTGGTCATTGGGAGCACTGTGTACAAAGTGCTTTTCACCTAAGGGGCACGACATATTCAGAGAATTAGAAGGCCATTGTGGCACAAGCTTGAAAGTGAGGAGGAGAATGACCAGGATAAGCCTGGAGGGGCAGGTGACTTAGATGGTGCAGAACCATCTTGTGGGATTTGCTCTTTAGCCTCAGTGCCACAGAAAGCCACTGAAAGGCTTATACAAGGGAATGATGTGATCAGATTGGCATTTTTTAAAGAGTATCCGGCTGCTGCATGAAATATGTTTTGGGAAGTGATCTAAAGGAGATGACTGATTGGACACAGGGTATAAGAGGAGTTCTTCAGAGGAGTCTCCAGGATATACTATGAATTGGGAGTTGGTGCCATTCACTGTGACAGGGAGCACCGATAGAGGAACAGCTTTAGGGGAGAAATTGGGAGTTTAGTTTCAGATATGCATATGGAATGCAAGGTGCCTATGCAGTATCCAAATGCAGCCATCAAGGGGCAGTTTCTGTAAGGATCTGGATTTCAGAGGGAAGTCTGGACCAGAGGCATATATTTGGGCACCGTCAGCTTAGAGATAACCACAGCTGGCAGACTGAATGAGGGTACACAGAGACAGAGAGTTTCTTGCCAAACTGTAACTCCTCAAGTCCTAACTCGTTATCACCTTTGCAAAGCTATCCCTGCTACGTACATAAGGTAATTTACTACTTCTGTACTTATCTACATTTGTTATATCGTATTTTAATTACATGTTTTACCTCAATTCACACTTGTAAGTGTGCATCCTTACAAGTGAGGTATATTTTGTGTGCCCAGATCTTGGCTTAGGTCCTGGCTCAGTAGGCTCCCAGTGAATGTTACTCACAAATCAAAGTGATGTGGCCTTTGGACCTCAGAGAAGCATTCTGCAGTTAGTCCAAGTAGTAAATGGTGTGGCATGGTCTAACAACCCCAAATCCTTTCTATTGAAGGATTTTTAACCCTTTATTTATTTATTTATTTAGAGACAGAGTCTTGCTTATCACCCAAGCTGGAGTGCAATGGCACCATCTCGGCTCACTACAACCTCTGTCTCCCAGTTGAAGTGAACCTCCTGCCTCAGCGCCCCCCCACAGTTGTTGGAATTACAGGCGCACACCACCATGCCCAGCTAATTTTTTGTATCTTTAGTAGAAATGGGGTTTCACCATGTTGGCCAGGCTGGTCTCGAACTCCTGATCTTCTGATCCACCCACCTTGGCCTCTCAAAGTGCTGGGATTAGAGGCGTGAGCCACTGTGCCCAGCCAATTTTTTTTTTTGAGATGGACTCTCAGTTTGTTGCCCAAGCTAGAGTGCAGTGGCATGATCTCAGCTCACTGCAACCTCCACCTTCCAGGTTCAGATGATTTTCCTGCTTCTGCCTCCTGAGTATCTGGGACTACAGATGTGCGCCACCATGCCCAGCTAGTTTTTGCATTTTTAGTAGAGACTGGGTTTTGCCATGTTGCTCAGGCTGGTCTCGAACTCTTGAGCTCAGGTGATCTGCCCTCCTCTGCCTCCCAAAGTACTGGGATTACAGGTTTGAGCCACCACTCCCAGTCAGGTTTTTAACCCTTGGCAATTCATCTCAGTAATTGGGAAAGTGGTACTTACTTGATAGAAATTTGCTTTCTTGTGCTATACACATTCTTTAAGGAAAATAATACTTGGATTAACAGTTTTTCAGTTTAAGATGCTGATTCTTCTGCTAATCATGTTATAAAAGGAGACTAGAATATCTCCACTGGATGCTGCGGGCAAATGTGTGTGGTCTGTAAGAAATGTGTTATCAAGAGCTGGTAAACATTGTCTTGGCAGAACCCCACACAGGAGAGAGCCAGGAATGATTAAATGAAAGAACAGCATATGTGACATGATTTGCACAGTTGAATCACATTCCCCATGCTCCCAGGGCTCCAGAAGAATCCAACAGCAACTCTCAAATTTACCATCTGCCTCTCTGCTTTCTGTTACTCTTCTGGTGAGGAGCAGGGGAGGGAGGGAGAGATGGTAATGTTTTATGAATGTTTGCTTGGAAGCCTGAGCATGTATTCTCGTCATGTAGTTCTCTAGAGCACATGAGCAGAGGCTGTCAATGCCCTGGTGGTGAGGGGTTCAGTCCTTAACTATACTTGGGTTTAATACCAGCTTATCACTTAATAGTCTGTTGTCTATAAAGCAAATTATCAAACATTACTAATTCTCAGTTTCCTTGTCTATAAATGGTGAAGGTGGGTGATGATGTTGTAGTTGGGGGCAGGAGTTGTAAGATCCAAAATATTCCATGGGGAAGCTCTGAGAGTGAGACATGGTGACATTTGCTAAGCATTTAGCAGAGTTTGCTGACGTGGTAACTGTTAAATGGCAGCTAGTTTTGGCAGTAATGCAAGAATAGAAGCAGTAAATAAGGCAGGGTTTTGTTTGCTTTAGAGAGAAAGAGGTTATTTCTTTTTTGTTGTTCTTCATATATAATGAGAATTTGAGAAATGAATTTGTTTTAAAATTTTATTTGTAAATTGGATTTCTACCTTTTTTAATCCATGTGAATGGACATTCCAAATGGCACTCAAGCCATGAATTAGGGAGGTGCTTTCTGAGAACAATGACTGTAGGGAAGGTGAGTGGTTTCTATTCCTGACCTGCCCTGGGTTCTCTAAAATACAGCAACATATGTCTATAGGTACCGTTATTAATGGTGGAATTCTTTATTTTAGAAACACTGCTTAAGAGTTCAAATACACTTAAAGTTAAGGTGAATAAAACCAGAAACTACATATTCAGTCACCCAGACTAAAAATAATCATCAAGATTTTGCCACCAGTTTTCCTGTTTCATAATTTTCTATTTTAAAACAAACTGCAGATATCAGGTCATTTTACTTCTGCTTTTCTTTTTTTTTTTGGTGACAGAGTCCTGTTCTGTCACCCAGGCTGGAGTGCAGCAGCGCAATCTCTGCTCACCGCAACCTCTACCTCCTGGGTTCAAGCAGTTCTCCTGCCTCAGCCCCCCAAGTAGCTGGGATTACAGATGCTCACCACCACACCCAGCTAATTTTTGTATTTTTAGTAGAGATGGGATTTCATCATGTTGGCCAGCTGGTCTTGAACTCTTGACTTAAAGTGATTCAGCCACCTCGGCCTCCCAAAGTGCTGGGATTATAGGCGTGAGCCACCACACTCATCCCATTTTACTTCTATATACCTCAAAATGCCTCTGTAAATTAAACTACAGACTTAAAAAAAAAAAAAAAAACAGTCACTCAATTCTAAATCTTCTGGGAAGGAAAAAAAAACATAGTCACAATCCCATTCTGATGAATTTTACTTTATTATGTTGGAGTTTTAATTATTTATTAAAGTATTCCTTTCTCTCATTCCCTCTCCCTTCTCTTTTCTGCTCTTTCTCTACTATGTATGTATAGATTTGTATATTTATTTTGATTTATAATATCTAAAATGTGCCTCTCAGTTTTAAATGTACAAAACACAATTTAAACAGTGGTTTCATAAGTATGCTAATGCCAGTATTGACCTGGAGTTAACATGGTTTTGGGAGAGGCATGGTTAGAAAAACATAGAAAAAAAATACCCCCTTCTTACCAGGCTTGCCCCTATTTGGCCCATTCCCATCTAGCACTGAATTAAAGATATCTCCTGATAAGCTTGGAGTAGGCACAGACAACTTGGTGGGTGAAATAGGTAGAGAAGCCCTAAAGACAACTGCAGCCTTTCCCATGTGAACCACTCCTTCAACATCTGCTTTCTAATGCAAAAAATATGTTCTCCTCACTCCAGTGCCGTTCCTAGAAATTTTTAGTAATGTTTATTAATCTAAAGGTATTTAGTATTCTATGCTATAATTTGGAATTTGAAACTTGACTTCTTGGAACCTTTTTAAATTCTAGGACGATATCTTAAAGAAACTTCTTGGCTTTATAAATAATTGTAATTATTCACTGTATAATTATCCTTTAAACAAAGCCAAAAATGTTTCTAAAGTTAGGATAATTCAACAGTTATTTAATACAAAGCAGAACTTTTGGAAAGAAAAAATAACCATTCTATTTGCTAAAATGCCATCTCGGGTTCTCTGTTGTCTGCTCTGATGATCTGTTCACATAAGCCTCAGAGTTGCTGCTTTTTTTGACTAGTATTGTTGGAGGGTGGTGGGATCTGTTGCTATGGGAGAAAGAAAAGAAAGAAAAAGGCAAAGAATGAAAGCTGACATCTGGTTGATGAAACCTTTTACCCCCAACAGTTCTGCCACAGAAAGGGATGAATGGCTAGAAGCGATTTCCAGGGCAATAGAAGAGTATGCCAAGAAAAGAATCACCTTCTGTCCTAGTAGAAGTCTTGATGAGGTATTGTCTTCTTTTTTTTAAATTTTTTTTTCCAGCTCATTTAAAAGTTTTTACCCTAAGCATTTCACAGGGATTGAGGAAAGCAACATATGTTTCAGAGAATGATTGGACTGGACATCAGAGAATTACTCTACAGATTAATGTCTCATTTCAGCACTAAAAAATGTATCCTTCTATTAATGTCTCACTGCACATCTGTGATCAGATATAGCATATTCATGTATTTTCCCAGCTGTAAAACTTCATTGTAGGAAATTTAGAAAATACAAAGTAATTTAAGAAAGAAACTAATCAGTTGCCATTCCACTACCACAGGCATCTTTTTAAGTTAATTTTGCATTAGAAGATTTTTTGATTGTAGCTAATCTTAGTATTCTGAGCACATGAAAAATATAATAGCCTATATTTCTTTTTCTCCTCTTTTTTTTTTTTTTTTTTGAGACGAATTTCACTCTTGTTGCCAAAGCTGGAGTGCAGTAGCGCTGTCTCAGCTCAGTGCATCCTCTGCCTCCAGGGTTCAAGTGCTTCTCCTGCCTCAACCTCCTGAGCAGCTAGGATTATAGGCACAGACCCCCAGGCCAGCTAATTTTGTATTTTTAGTAGAGACAGGGGTTTCACCATGTTGACCAGGCTGGTCTTTTTCTTTTTTTTTGAGATGGAGTTTTGCTATTGTTACCCAGACTGGAGTGCAATGGCACGATCTTGGCTCACCGCAACTTCCGCCTTCTGGGTTCAAGCAATTCTCCTGCCTCAGCCTCCCAAGTAGCTAGGACTACAGGCACGCGCCACCATGCCCAGCTAACTTTTCTATTTTTAGTAGAGACGGGGTTTCACCTTGTTGACCAGGATGGTCTCGATCTCCTAACCTCAGGTGTTCTGCTCACCTGAGGTTTAGTCTCCCAAAGTGCTGGGATTACAGATGTGAGCCAGCACACCTGCCAATAGCCCATATTTCATCCCCATCTTTTTTTTTTTTTTTTGAGACGGAGTCCCACTCTGTCACCCAGGTTGGAGTATAGTAGCGCAATCTCGGCTCATTATAACCTCCACCTCCTGGGTTCAAATATTTCTCCTGCCTCAACTTCCCGAGTAGCTGGAATTACAGACACCTGCCACCACACCTGGCTAATTTTTGTATTTTTAGTAGAGACAGGGTTTCACCGTGTTGGCCAGGCTGGTCAAGAACTCCTGACCTCAAGTGATCTGCCTGCGTTGGCCTCCCAAAGTGCTGGGATTACAGGCCTGAGCTGCCGCACCTTACCCTCATCCCCATCTTAGTGGTAGTGTGACACTCCACTGCCGAATAAAAAGGTAGGCAGTTTGCATGGGAATAATCAGAAGTTGCTCTTCTTCCGCAGGCAGACTCAGAAAATAAAGAGGAAGTTAGTCCTCTTGGATCGAAGGCTCCCATCTGGATTCCTGATACCAGAGCCACAATGTGTATGATCTGCACAAGTGAATTTACTCTCACCTGGAGACGACACCACTGCCGGGCCTGTGGAAAGGTTGGCGAGGATAACACCTATCTCCATTGTGGTCCTTACTTTCTCCAGGCTCTACATAGTGAGGAAGAATATTTCCCCTCATAAACCATTGTAGTTCAAGAATGACAATAACAATTATTATTACTGTGTTAATGGAAGAAAACATGAATGGTGTTTTCTCTAAATATTTAGGGCAGAGGGAATCGTCTTAGGGAACTTCCACCCTCCTACTTCAGTTACATTAGAACATCAGTAATAAATAACTTTGAATCAAAATCTAACAAATTGACAATTAAATAGGCCCTCACATTTCAGCTATTATTTAAACTGCCTCTCTCTAGTACTCAGTATCTATAGTATTCAGTAGGGGGAGTGTTCAGAGTTGAAGTTATCCCTAGTGATGCTTCTAAGACTTCATGCTCTCATTAGTAAAATGGGTGCAGAAACAGCAACATCAGAGAGTAACCCTGAAGATTAAATGGGATTCTATTTAGAGAGCATTTAGTACAGAGCCCAAGAACTTGGTAGAGAAGCAGAGACATGGTCGTTGCTGCAGCAGTGATTATTATGATGACAATGATGGTGATCAGTATACCTCATAGGCCTTCTTGCATACCAGGTACTGTTCTAAGCATTTTGTATATATTAACTCCTTTACCTTATTATTTTATGTAGTCAGCCCTTTGTAAGTAAAAATCTGTGGCCTCTTCATCTTACAAGTGCGGTGCTATGCATTAGTTTACTGTATGCCCAAACTCCATAGAGTTATAATTGAGACCAAATGAGATTCAGTGACTGTGAAACTGTTTTGAAAAGTGGATGGCATGGTAAATTGTAACATATTTTATGGTTTGGAAACACAAGTTATTCTAATAAAATTAACGAAATAATTCCGATGTATTTTCAGATTGTATGCCAAGCTTGTTCATCCAATAAGTATGGCTTAGATTACCTGAAAAATCAACCAGCAAGAGTATGTGAACATTGTTTCCAAGAACTGCAGAAATTAGGTAATATATAAGTAAAGATTTAACCAAAAATTCCTTTATTCCCCAGATGCTTTCAAACAACCTTCTGACAGAAACACCTTCGGTACATTAGCAATATGATTGTTGATACTTATCTCCAAATTTGTAGTAAGCTTTAATTCACATTTTGTTGTAATTGTAGGAGAGGTTGGCCTGAAATTTGGTTTTGGTCTGTGAAAAAGATTTTCCTAAGAAAACTGTAGGAATGTAATGACACAGTAAAACAGTAAAAGAGAACTTTAACTTTCCAGTAATTTTGAAGTCTATCATTTCAGAGGATAGCGTGCTCATTACAAATCATTTTATCTATATGTAGCTTAATTCTAATCAGTTGAACCAATTTAGTGAGATCTTAATATATATGTGAATGTGCAGCTTTTTGACCAAACACAAAAGGGTGCTTCATATTTCCCTGCTCATTATTTACAGGTATCCTCCATTAAAGTGAATGCAACTTAGCAGGACTGCTCAGGTCTATGTTTTGGGAAGGGATTTTTACTTCAATTCCTGAAACCTATAGGATCTAAATTTTATTTTATTGATTGATTGATTGATTAAGATAGGATCTCACTTCATCACCCAGGCTGGAGTGCAGTGATGCAATCTGCAACCTCTGCCTCTAGGGTTCAAGGGATTCTCCTACCTCAGCTTCCTGAGTAGCTGGGATTACAGGCACACGGGACCATGCCTGGCTAATTTTTGCATTTTAGTAGAGATGGGGTCTCACTATGTTGGCCAAGCTGGTCTCGAACTCCTGACCTCAAATGATCCACCTGCCTCAGCCTCCCAAAGCCCTGGAATTACAGGCATGAGCCACTGTGCCTGGCTAGGATCTAAATTTTTAAAAGTCTGTTCTTCATTTCCCTGAAGGAAAGCTTTTTAGTAGCAAGGAGGAATTTCTAAGTGAATAAAAAGTGGATGACATGCTATTTCAGACCCTGCATATTTCTAGATTAATGATTTATTATTGTCTGTATACATTTTCCAAGAAGACCCATCCATTTCTTCCTTTATATTCCTCCCTTTAGTCTGGGTATATGCTATAAGCTGCAAAAATTTGTCTTTGAGCAGTGGCTCACGCCTATAATCCCAGCACTTTGGGAAGCCGAGTCAAGTGGATCACAAGGTCAAGAGATCGAGACCATCCTGGTCAACATGGTGAAACCCTGTCTCTACTAAAAATACAAAAAAATTAGCTGGGTATAATGGCATGTGCCTGTAGACCCAGCTACTCGGGAAGCTGAGGCAGGAGAATCGCTTGAATCCAGGAGGCGGAGGTTGCGGTGAGCTGAGATCGTGCTATTGCACTCCAGTCTGGGTAACAACAGCGAAACTCCATCTCAAAAAAAAAAAAAAATTTGTCTTTGAATTCGCCTTCCTCATCACCAATACCCATTTGGTCAGTTTTATTATCAAAAATTTTTGTCTGGATTTCTCCATTCCAGCCCTAATAAGGCCTTCATTATCTCTCATCTAGACAACTATAATAATTTCCTAACAGGTTTCCCTGCAGTTAGTCCTTTCTCCTTAGTACTGCCAGATACAATCTTTTTTATTATTATTATTATTTAATCTGGTCATGTCACTCCCCAGCCTAAAACGTATAAACAACAATCCAGGTTCCTTCAAACCAGCCCCTTTTTTAAAAATCTGGCCTCGTTAGTCTCCAAATAGATGATTTAATTTCTTACCTCTCTGCCTTGGCTCACGCTGACCTCATGGTGCATAGTGTTCCTCCTGCTTGTTTTTGTTTTGTTTTTTATTTGTTTGGTTTTTTTGAGATGGAGTCTCATTCTGTCTCCCCCCCTGAAGGGCAGAGGTACAATCTTGGCTCACTGCAACCTCTGCCTCCCAGTTTCAAGCAATTCTCCTGCCTCAGCCTCCCAAGTAGATAGGACTACAGGTACCCGCCACTAGCACCCATCTGATTTTTTGTATTTTTAGTAGAGATGGGGTTTCACCATGTTGGCCAGGCTGGTCTCAAACTCCTGACCTTGTGATTCACCCGCCTCAGCCTCCCAGAGAGCAGGGATAACAGGCATGAGCCACTGTGCCTGGCCCCTCTTGCTTGTTTTAACCTGGCAAATTCCTATTCCTTCATGGCCAACTTAAACATCTTATTATCTTCTCAGCTTTCCCTGAACCTCTGCAATCAGAATTCATTACTTTATCCGTGTCCAGTAGCCCCTTTTTAACTACTTTTGTTCATTATAGTTGGTCTAATATCTAGACACAACAATACCAGGGTTCTTTGGGGTTTAAGTAAGTAGGGAAGGTTTTTTGGGTTTTTTTTTAAGTTGGTAGTATAGTCACATGTTTCGTAATTCTAAAGACATACAAGAGTAATCTTTTCACATAGTTTAAAGTTCAAAAAGTATAAAACCATAGATAGTAGAAAGTCTTTCTTCCACTCACCTCTCAGCCATCCATTGTCCTTTTCCAGGAGCTATCAGTGTTGTTTCTTAGTGTCCTTCCATGGATACTTTATACAACAATGTTTTGAATGAAATTGAATTACAAAATGCTGAGCATTGACTAAGTAAGTGTGCCTGATTTGTTTTAGATCACCAGCACTCCCCTAGGATTGGATCTCCTGGAAATCACAAATCTTCAAGTGCCTTATCATCAGTCTTACATAGCATTCCATCAGGGAGGAAACAGAAAAAAATCCCAGCTGCTCTCAAAGAAGTAAGTGTTTCCATTAAACTTGTAATGTGATAGAGGCTGAATTATTCATATGCATATAATACAGTTTTTCTTTCATAAAGGAAGATGTCATTTCCCACAACTATTAAGTCATGAATTTTAATACTGATGATGGATGTGGCTGATGCCTCACAATGGTGCTTGGTCTCCTGTCTGACCTGAGTCATTTGGAAAATGGCTGTTGAAAGGTTTAGAGAACATTTAACAACAGTGATAAAAAGTAAAGATACGTTGGACACACATGAATTTTTGAAAATGACTTTGAGCAGAACCCTTGCCAGAGGGAAGAAGTCCACAGGATATTTTGGGCATTGATCTGCAGGGTTTATTTGTAGGTCGCGGTTGATTATGCAGAGCTGGTACCACTGGTAGTAGGTTGTCTTTCCTTTAAACTTAAAAGAAAATTTTAAATAGTGATAATAGACTATATGCCTAGACCTGCTAATGGTGTAAACCACAGACATTGTTGATACCCTATCCCAGTCCCTCAAATTTAAGTGTCAAAGATCAAAGAGCATTGCCATTTGGCTACTCCATTATGGTCAGTTTATTAACGAGGTCCACCTGTGCTAGTTTTGTGGCCAGAAGAGTAGTTTTTAATTTGGTTCTCTTGTGGAAGCAAAGAACTCTAAAAATTTGATCAAGATCATGTTTCTTATGTAAAGTTAAGGGTGTATTCCCAGTTGAGGTTGGTCCCAAAGTAGTGAGTTATCTCAATTGATGGTTCACAGTCAGTTACAGATTTGTCCGACCTACCCTCTGCGGGAAGACGGCTCATTGGGAAAGAAACCGGACCGCAGGCTAGGAGAAAGTCCTTAAGTTCAGGCTTTATTGAGAGAAAAGAGCCTCCGGGCGGGCCAGCCGGGACGAAAAGGAAAAATGGCCGCGCCGCTCAGAGGGGCAGGGTTGTTTTATAGGGGGCTGAAGGGCTGGGGGGTGGGGAAGCCGCAAGCCGAGGTGGTGGGCAACTGTTGGTCAGTTTGAACTGCTGGGCGGGAAGCTGGGCGGCGGGAGGGCTAGGGCCGGTATGTAAAGTGAGAGATAAGGGAGCCTCTTTGTGGGGAAGGGAAAGAGAGAGAGAGAGAGCTTTCGCGGTAGGGGCAGAGTTTTCCAAACATTCCCGACTCCTTAAAGAAAAGAAAAAGAGGGGGTCAGGGGCGTCAGTTGTCTCTCTGGCTACTTCCTGCTGACAAGGGTCGACGGGGGGTTCTGAAGAGGTCTCTTTTCCTAAGGAGCCTGGATGTTCGGGGAGAGGTCCGTTTCTAGCATTCGTTCAGGGTAGGGTTGGAGCAGCATCTGGTGGATGGTGACTCGAGTCAGTTCTTGAAAGCGCCGCTGTAGGAACTGTAGAAAGCAAGGAGCAATAAGTAAGATTAGGCAAACGGCTACTAGGGGCCCAAGCAATGGGGACAAGAGGGTATACATAGAGGAAGACCACCACGCTGTGGCTTCAGCCAAGAACTTCTGACTCTGCAGGTTAGTTTTGAGTTTCTGGAGGCTCTCGATTCGGGTTTCTACTAGGCCGGATTCATTGATGTAGTAACAGCACTCTTCCTGTAGGAAGATACAGGTCCCTCCTCGTTCAGCAGTGAGCAGGTCTAGGGCTCTTCGGTTCTGCAAGGCAACTTGGGCAACTGAGGTGATCTGTCGTTGGAGTGATGTTAAAGACTCAGTAGAGTCATCAATAGCCGCTTGGAATTGTGAGGTCAGTCGGGCTATAGCCAGGTGAGAGTGGGCTAGTGCCCCTCCTCCTAATACTGCTGCAAGTGCTGAACCAGCAAGGGAGACTCCAACGGCAATGAGTAGGAAGGCAGCTCGTCGGGTGCGGTGATGGGGAGTTTGCAGCATCCGGAATTCGGCTGGGGAATATATAGTGAGTTGAGGGACTAGGGTTACTGGGAGGCATAAAAGAGATGAGGAAAGACCAATGTAGAGAGTTTTTGTTAAGGTCTTGTTACACCAAAAAAACGTTCCTCGTGGGGCTGTTATATTAGTGGTTACCCGTATAGTTCTGTTACAGCTAGGGAAGTTTCGGCCTAGGGAATAGCACACAGGTAGCTGTTCAAAATCAGGTGGAGTGTAGAGATCAACTTCCTTGATAGGGGAGAAGGAAGAAGTTGAGGCTGAAAGGTTGAGAGGGATGGGGTAGGGGACTGCAACGAAGGGAGTCTGTCCTAAGAAGGCACACATGAGGCATGAGGTTAGCTAACTTGATTCCTTCTTGGAGAAAGGTTAACCAGGAAAATGGAGGTGAATGTGGTTGCAATTGGTCATTCAGAGATTTTTCTTGTAGGCTAATGTCAGAGTGGACTTGGTGGACTGTACGTACATATGCCTGCCAGATGTACAGGTGGGAAGAGGGATATTTGGTATCTATGTGGTCATACACGGAAGCTTTCTGGGGGCTTTTCCACCGGTTGTCCCAGGGGTCAGGTATGAGAAGGGAATACCGTGTAGAACCGATAATGGTGTTTCCTTCTCCATCTACATCTGGGATGATTTTGAGCTGAGATCGGGCAGGTACTGTGGACTTGATAGCTATATGTAGTCGACAGTTCATCCAAGTACATCCCATGCAGGAGCGCCAAGGAGTATTATTGCATGCTCCTGATGGTTGGTCATGGTTGAAGCACATGAGAGGTATAGTAGTATGGACGTTGCGGAATTTGGTGAAGTTCAGCTATATGGCACTTTGGCATCCGGCTGCGGGGCAGTCGGAAGTTGCAAGAAGGTGGTTGTGGCTGTATGGGGGGGTATTACAGATGAAGGTGGTTTTGGTATAGTTTTCAGTTAGGAAGAATCTCCATCTGTAGGGGGTGTGGCTGCTAGGCCCTGGTAAGTTTGACAGATAAAGGGCCAGTAGGAACAGCCTTCCAGCATAAGGAGGGTCCATGAGGGGCCTTTTTTACCCGAGAGAGGTGAACCCAAGATGGGATTTCAGCAATTCTTATAGCTGATGGAGTGGTAAGGAGGACTGTGTATGGTCCTTCCCACTTGGGGGCGAGGGGCTTTGGGGAGAGGGACCTGATAAGAACTGAGTCCCCGGGGGAGACTTTCTGTGTATTTTCAGATGGCTGGGTGGGTTGGGGAAGAGAAGCGTTGGCGTGTTCTCGGAGAAGGCTGCGAAGGAGAGTAAAGTAGGGGAGGTAGCTGTCTAGAGGAGTAGTCTCTAGCGGTGGGGGAGTTGAAAGTAGGAAGGGGCAACCATACAGCAGCTCAAATGGGCTAAGCTGTGATGGGCCCCGGGGGCCTGCTCTTACCCTGGTGAGGGTGATAGGAAGTAAGGTTACCCAGGATTGGCGGAGCTCAAGCATGAGCTTAGTCAGATGCTCCTTTATTAGGCCATTGGCCCGTTCCACCTTACCAGAGGACTGAGGATGGTAGGCGGCGTGTAGCTTCCACTGAATTCCTAGAGAGGTAGAAACGGCATTAGTGACTTTGGAGATAAAGGCTGGGCCGTTGTCTGACTGTATGGTGGCTGGGAGTCCAAAGCGTGGGATGATGTCTTGAATGAGTTGAGTGGCTACTGTCCCGGCAGACTCAGAGGCTGTGGGGTAAGCTTCAATCCAGCCTGAAAAAGTGTCAACAATGGTTAGCAGATACCGGTACTGTTTGTGCTTTGGCATATGGGTGAAATCAATTTGCCAGTCTTGGCCAGGTAGGAACCCGCATAGCTGATGAAGCTGGCACCGGGGATGACAGGAACCCTGGGAATTAGTTTTCGCGCAGACAGTACATGAGGACTGGACTTCCTGTATGGTACTGAGGAGATGGTGAGGGTGAAAAAGTGGGTTGAGGAATCGGTATAAGGCTTTAGGCCCAATGTGGAGTGAATTATGGATGTCTTGGATTATCTGGTACCTTTGCTTTTCAGGGAGGATGAGGAGGTTATGCTTGAAGGCCCAGTCATCCTTGAACCGTACCCCGGGGGTAGACTGGAGGGCCTGGAGTTCTGAGGCAGAGTATTGAGGGCTAGGAGAAAAAGGCTGTGTGGGCTGGCAGTGGGGAAGGTTATGACAGCCTTCAGCTTTGAAAGGATGTCCCGCCCCAGAAGGGGAACTGGGCAGGTGGGGATTACTAAAAAGGAGTGGGTGAATGGAGTGGAGTTATATGAGCACATGAGTGGTGGGGTTTGGTAGGGGATACTCGGGGTCCCATCGATTCCCATGACTAAGACCTGGGAAGGCGTGAGATGGCCAGAATAAGAAGAAGTGCGGAGTAGGTAGCCCCCATGTCTTGTGACCCTAGGCTCGGCGAGGGTAACCGGAGTCGGAAAGCCAGGGCCCCGCTAGTCATCTAGCAGCCCTAGTAGACTGGGGAACGGAGCTCCCTCGGAGGTCGGCTCCTGGCAAGCAGGCTCCTCCCTACTGAGGGTGACTGCCGGCTGCGTAACGCCAGTGTGTCTGTTTTGAGGAACCGGCACCCTGGGGAAGCTGGGGCAGTCTGACTTCCAGTGTCCCGGGAGCCGACAGATAGGGCAAGGCTTAGTTGGTGGCCATGGTTGTGGACAGGCTCAGGACCAGTGTCCTTCCTTTCTATATTTGAAACATGCCTCTGGAGGGGCATGGGTTTCGGCCTTGGGCTTCTGGTTCCCTGCCGGCCTTAGAGCCGCCACTAGGGCTTGGGTCTGGAGGGCAGCCTTCTGCTTCATGCGAGTTTGGCGGGCAGCCTCAGCCGCATCTTCCCTGGCATTGAATACTTTAAAGGCCATTTTTACCAGGTCTTGGATGGGAGTCTCTGGCCCCTCTTCTGCTTTCTTTAGTTTCTTTCTTATGTCGGGTGCTGATTGGGAGATAAAGTGGGAGGCTAATACAGTGGCTCCATTCTCATACCGGACTAGGGCTTCTTATGCTTGAGTGAGGTATTGGAATTCTTTAATATAGGTGGACGGGTCGGCTGAGCAGGATCCTAAACGTTTCTCAATTTGGGACAGGTCTTGGAGTGAGAAAGGAACATGGACCCTGATTAAACCTTCTGCGCCT